TTGAGGTCTAATGCCAAAGCTGCCTAGTCATTAGAGGAAGCTCTGTCAAATGGAAGGTGCCAATTCTCGTATTTGCTCCTAGAGTTTCTTACTTACTCAGAGCAAGCCAACTGGAAGGTCAAACCAGATTCTTCTGTGTTGACAAGGGAGCCCCTTGTAGAGGTTGGCCTTGGCAGGGGCCCAAAGAAACCAGCTCTTGAAGTTGATCCTGGGAGAAAAAAGAGGATGTTAATAATGATCTGCTTCACAGTGCAATTTTATAAGACAATCTGCTGCCTTGTGCTAACAACCTTTGAGTTCTTCTCAGTCCTTGATCTATTTATAGACAGAGACTAACATGAGTTGAAAAGACCCAACAACTGCTGAAATGATTGATCAAGGCTTCGTTGAAAACTCACTAGATTTATTATCTCTTATGGGGGGCAGGAAAGCAGATGAGCTGGGTTCTTCTTGCTAATGGTATTGGTTTTTATGTTAGTATTTACACACATCACTCCGTTGGAGTCAGACAGGGTCTAGACCGAAATAAATAATAAATAATAAAAGTGCCCAAGTTTCTGAATTAATCCCCTATCTGGGTTCACACAAAAAGCAGAGCTACAAACTTCCAAAGAAGCTGGGTTCGTATGACCCGCTAAGCCACATGCACACAACAAAGAAGATTAAAACTAGTTAAGCTTAGCATATGTGAGCGCACGGTGGCTAAGCTTTGAAGAGAGACAGTTAAGCGTGGACTCTGTCAGAGAATAAAAGTCTAGAGTGCCAGCAAGGGTAAATGGCTGAAATAACTTAGAAATGCTATACACAGGCTTTGAATACACAAAGCACTGAGCGTCCATGATTACACCAGCACATTCTAATCCACAGGTTTGAAGCTTGGTGTGGATTAGGATCTGTGCCTACACGTGTACAGGTAGATCTCAATTTAGGAGCCACAACTGAGCCACACATTTACATTGCTGTAAAATTTGTAATGGGAGTTTTGCCCCATTTTACAACTTTTCTTGCCAGATTTGATAGAAGTGTCTCACTCCAGCTGTTAAATTAGTAACCTGGTTGTTGGGTGAACCTTGTTTCCCCATTGACTTTGCTTGTCAGGTTAGAAAAAAGGAAATCGCATGGCCCCAGGATGCTCTATCCATCGTAAAGATGAGTCAGTTGTCAAGCATCCATCCGAATGTAAATCACGGGACCAAACCTACGACCATGCAACGATGATCATAAGTTTGGGGAAAAAATGGTCCTACATGCCTTTTTTCAGTGCCGTCGTAATTTTGAACAGACACCAAGTGAATTTTTGTGAGCCAAGGACTACCTGTATAAAATTATCAGCCCCATACACAGCTTCAGTTCACATTGAGCATTCAGTTGTATTGGCTGAGGATGTGCAACTGCTCATTCCTGCGTGCTCTCACTTTATGCAGCTAAAATGAGGAACATAGTGTCCTTCAGACATTAAGAGTTATTCCTCATTGGTTACGCTGGCTGGGACTTCTGTATTTCAGGAAGGATACAAGTCAGGCAGATAGAGAGAGAGAGGGAGGGAGGGAGGGAGGGAGAATGGAGCATGAATAAACTTAAGGGGGGAGTTTTTTTGCATGGAGGTGATATGGACAAGTAATTAAAATGAAAGTTTCTCCCAATTCTGTCGTGGAATACTTTGGTTTGTGGGGTAACCGGGAGGAAGATTCTTGGTTGAAGTAATCTGCAAAAATCTTTTACTATCAAGAGCAGCTTTACCCCACTTTAGCTCATTTCCTTCATCCAGTGCCTGGTTCCAGGAAAAAGCAGCATATTCTCACTATTCTCACATTACAATTTCAGTGCTTGTGATCCCGCCACAAAGTTTGCTAAATGTAAGCTAAAAGGGGTTGCAAACAGAAGGTGTTGCAGCCTTTCAAATTAAATGTGAAACTTTTAACTGAATTATATTTAAAACGTATGCCCCCCCCCCAATACTCATGGGCTGGTGTAGGACTTTTGCTGCTGCGAGGTTAATGGGAAGAGAGGGTTAACATACAACACTTAATCTCCCTGCCTTCCCCCCCCCCCACCCCAATTAAGCATGCTGTGAAAACAAGGCCATAGAGCTGGAAGGAGCTATTTAAGCCATTGAATCCAACCTTCTGCTCACTGCAGGATCAAAAAAAACAACAAACCACAACCCTGAAGTATCCCAGCAAATATGTATCCAGCCTGTCTGTAAATATCCAGCATAGAGAGTCCCACCACCTTGCAAGGAAAATATTTATTTCACAGTTGCCTTTTTGTTTGGATTTCAAAGAGACTTACATGGGGAGGCCTCCCCATAATAGCCCAGTGGAAAGAGGATTCCATAGACAGGAAGAGTCACTGGCTCAAGGTCTACCAGGAAGTTCTGTGGTTGAAGGGGGGTGGGTGGGGCTTCTTTTCCATATATAGGCATATACAGCGTGTATAACATGAGCATTCCTCACTTTGGATGCAGCCTTTAGTAAGCAGGGATACTGAAGAGAGAAGATGGTCTTTCATTCAATACCAGAAACTTCTTGATGGAGAACCTGGAGGAGAAATTCTGCAAGGCAAATGGGAAGAAGAGCCTGTGGGCTGAAACTTGGAGAAAAGTAGCCATGGGCATTGCTCTCCAGCTCAATTGTTGCAATTTTTCCCCCCAGAGTAGAGACCTGCATATATAACCTTCCCAACTAAAACTGATTTGCAATCTTACAACTACAACACAACCAGCAACGGCTGTCAGTCATTTCCCTTGCAGTTTCCTGCTTCTTCCAAACGTGTCTTCATTTTAAATGGGCGAGGTGAGCCTCAGCCAAGGCAAGAGTTCCTCTTTAGCCTGGACTGCATTTCTTGTGTTCCACCTTCTCATTTTCTTACAGAAAAGGAGGGAGGAGCACCATGGATTCCACCTTAGGCTTCTGAATGAAAAGGCGTGGATGAAATATAAGAAGAGGAACAGGCAGATCCTAGGAAAACTCTGGCAAATTCTAAAGACTGAGTTGGACAGTCTCTTGCTTTGGCCTAGCAAACAGACCTTATATTTACTCTGCAATCTTCACTGCTGATTCCTGGAGATATGCAATTCCCCCCCCCCCCTATTTCTTTCAAATGTTATAAGCTAAAGAAACTGGTTCATCCTGTCACACACAACTGTAGGAACAGCTTTGCTTTTCTGAGACACTTTCAGATGAGTGTTAAAGCTGTTGACACCCTTAGTTTTCCATCTTTTACTTTCAATTTGGGGGGACATGTTTTGGGGCAAAGCTGGAAAGTACACCATTACTTTGCGTGTGGAGAAGTGGCCAGACCTGATCAGATAAAGCAAGGTGTTAGGTTTTACCACCACAATATTGTGCTGATTGGACAAACCTGACAATAGTTTGATTCAATAAACTTATCTTTGTTTATTCCTGAACTCCCCAATCTATATCTTCCAAATTTGACATTAGCATGAAAGACATCTCATTTATATCATTGCTCTGACATTTTCAATTACTTGCTTGGTTTTGTTTCATGGCACATCCCAGCAGTGTAACTGACTAATTCTGGCCCAGCAGTTATATATATACAGCAGCTAGGTTTGTTTTCTACTAGCAGGTTGGGCAATTTACTAACCCACCAGAACTTTTTTTTTTGGGGGGGGGGGGGGGGGGGCTTCAGGTCAGATTGTCAATCTCCCATTCCTATTTTGTAGCTAGCTCTAGAGAGACCCCAGCAGCAACTGCTAATTCCTCCCAAATCAATTTAATTGCAAGTGCAAGACAGCTGTCAACTCACAACAGATTCACGATTTCGTTCTTTTACTGCCACCGGCAATGTCCCCCTGTCTCCCCTCTGTGCCGCCCCCGCCCCCCCACCCCCTCAGCTGCCACCGCTGGCTACGCATGGTGAAAAGAAAGCGGTCGCGACGGGATAGCCGAAGAGCCTTCGCTCGGGCAAGAAAAGAACCAGGGTGCAAACTTGAGATCCGTCCAAGCACATTTTGTCCACTGGGGAAAGCACGCACGCTGCTAAAGGTAAAGAGAGCGCGTGCGCGCGCCCCAGCCCACAGGGGGGCGCGCTCCGCCAGGCAGCGTAGGGAGCGAGCGCCGTCCCCCCTCCCCCTCCCCTCCCCTCCCTCGGAACTTTGCTGACTGCAAGGTTCTGAAACCGAACGTAGCGACACGCGGGGGCGGAGGCGGCGGAACGTTCGATTCTCCCTTCGTTCCATCCGGCCTGTTCCTCGAGGGAGGGGAAGAGGAAGAAGGGGGGGAAGTCCTCGATCCCGGGTCCACGTTCCCTTCTACCCCACCGCGGGAGTCGCTTGGAGGAGGGGAGGGGAAAAAAAAAAAAGGAGGCCTCGGCAGCGCCACCCTCCGGCCGGCGAGCCTACTGCGCCTCCCCCTTTCTCCCTCGCTCACTCTTCCCCCCACCCCCACCCCCACCCCCCCGCTCCGACTCTCAATGTTCCACACTGCCCGGCCACAGAGCGTCCTCTGCTGCTTTATTTCCCCCCCGGCTGCTTCCATCCCCCTCTCCAAGGACATTTTTCTCTCCCCTTCCCTCCCCCCTCCATCCCTCCCCTCCGATCTAACGTCGGGACAGGACGCCTGCGAAGGTAAAGGAGAAAAGGGTTAGGTGGCTGCATCAGGAGCCTGGGCGAGCAATGGTGGGGGGGAGGAGAGAGGGGGGGGGGGGGTGGGGGGGGGGGGGGGGAGAAGAGAGAGCGAGCGAGAGAGATTGGTAGAGGGAGCTTTGTTCTTGTTTTCAGCGCTCGCTGCCTGGCGGTGGTCAGGCGAGCCAGAGGAACCGGACTGAGTTCACGCCTCACTTGGTGCGCATACACCACACTGGTCGTGGTGGAAAGCTTCCTACCATAACAGCCTCTCCATACCTCCTGGCTGGGAGCTCGACTCTCCCTACAGAGCCAAGAGGAGGAGGAGGAGGGGAGGGGGAGGAGGAGGAGGAGAAGGAGGGGGCGTCGAGGGGGGGGGGAAACGACGACGACGACGACGACGACTGTGTATGTGTGTCTGTATGTGTGAGTGTGTGCGAGGGAGAGAAAGAGCGAGAACGAGGGCAAAGCCTCAGTTTCTGCCCTGCTGCTGCAATTTTTTTTTTTTTTTGACGAGGACCAACCAACCTTTTTCATTTTTTTTTTAAAAAATTATACAATACAAATACCTAACCGCCTCCCAACCCCCCAATTTCATCTTTCCGGGAATTTTATTTTTATTTTTATTTTCAAAAAGAGGGGGCAGGAAAAAAAATATGTCGGTCTGTTTTGTAGAAACTGATCAAGACTCGGTGGCGTTGAAAGCTTTCCAGAAGGTGCAGTTTGAATTATGCTTCGTCTCTTCTTTTCCTTCTTCCTCCTCCTTTCTCTCTTTCTCTCTCTCTCTTTCTTTCCTTCCCTCCCCCCCCCCCCCCCCCCATTTCCAGCCTACTCTGTAGTGACCAAATGTAATTCTTGTTGATGGCTGTGCCAACAGAACCCGAGCTGGCTGATTTCTGACTGAGAGAAAAAAAAACATTGGAGTCTGAAATAGCAAATCCTTTCCAGCTATTTAAATTACAAGGAGACAAGAGGGACTGGGTCATTTATTGGTTTGGTTTGGGCCTCCCCGTTTGTATAACAGCTCAAGTATTGTGATTGGCAATATATTTGGGGGGAGGAGGAGAATATGGTTGACTTCACTCCTTCTGGTCCAGTGTAAATATTTACAGGGCATTTGTGAGGTTTTTTTTTTTTAAAAAAAGGGCAATGTTTACTGCTTGTCATGAGTTATTAATGCTTATGCTTGGAACACTTTGCGAAATTTGCCTCACACCTTTAAAAATTAAATGATTGATATACTATCTGAAGAATTGTAGAACTGAGCCTGTAAAAATGAAATGTGAAAAGAGAATATATATTTAAAAAGAGATCCTTCCTTCCTTCCTCATGGTAACTGTTGCTCTATAACATGAAATTGAAACTTTTAAAAGAATTGTTCAACCATTGAGTTGTAAGGGGGTCTGGAGTAATTCCACTCTGATTGAGTGGATTGCACTCCACTTAGTTAACTGATATTCTTTTGTCCCATTCCTTTCCTTTTGCTCCTTCCCCCAACGGTTCCCAAGATGTCCAGTGATAGACAGAGGTCAGATGATGAAAGCCCAAGTACCAGCAGTGGTAGTTCAGACGCAGATCAGAGGGACCCACCAGCACCTGAGCCTGAGGAACAGGAAGAAAGAAAACCTTCTGCAACACAGCAGAAGAAAAATACCAAACTCTCCAGCAAAACTACTGCTAAGCTATCTACTAGTGCTAAAAGGTAACAACTCCAAATATCTGAAATGTGCTTTCCTCCCTCTTTAGGGGAAAGGGAGCTGGAGAGAAGCTTGATGAGAAGGCACTCAATCTAAAGGGCTAAACTTTACTCTTTGATGAAAAGGCCTGTAATAAAAGATGGCTTTAAAGTTAGAGTCTAGTTGCTGCAGGGCCTCTTGCTCAGATCCCTTTGGGATCCCTTCACCCAACTCATTTGCCAGGTTGAAGATGATGGAGAGGATGGATGGGTTGGGTAGGCAGGTTCTTAATATGAGAATTACACTGTTATGAAAAACACATGTGATGATGTGGGTTGAAATCCACTCTGTGAAGGGGGTCGTCTTGCCACCTGCTGGGCTCTGGTTTGGTCCACTTGGCCCATGTGTATTTTTCAACAAGTGACACCTTGTTTGATTCATTCAGGCAAGGAGGCCCATTTTTAGATTCCCATCTTTTATTGCTGTTTGGCAAGGGAGGAGCACTTTGAAATAATGACCCTTTCATTGGCTGTTTTATTTACAATTGAGGTTTTTTTGCATGCTCTGAAAAAATGACATTTTGCAAGTTATATGAATTTTGTGGGGGTTGTTTCTTTTAGAGCATCCATGCAGGTCAACATGGATGGCGTGAGGGTTTTTTGTTTTGTGTTTTGTAGGTAATTGAAATGCAAGAAGGGCTGTTAACTTGCCTATCTCCTACCTTTGTGGTCCAGCAAGCTATTGATTTTCCTTTAATCTGTGAAGTTTCAAAAACTTGAGAACCTTTTACAGGTTGTCCCTAAGTGAACAATATCATTATCTGCATGTAGAGTTTTTCACAGCTTTGCTGTCAAGAAGCACCCTGCTTTTAATTTTCTTTAATAACCATTTGAGTTGGGCAAGCTTGAAATACCTTGAATCTTGCCTCTTTGGGGGTAACTGATCGCTTTTCTTAAAGCTCTGTTTCACCTAGGAATCCACATTACAATATCTGGTAGTCTATCTTTCAAGTGGTATCAGACGTCTAAAAGTGCAAGCCATTTTTGTTAAACTTTGTAGTAGTTTGAACAATTAAGTGGACCAAAATGTTTATGGGTGAAAATTGCTATCGTAAAGTAGAGTTTCATTAGGAATCTTGAAATGTTTAATTGTACTTCAAGCTCTGCATGAATTATGTGAGAACAATATTAGCTTTTACCAATTTCACATTTAAAATAATGTACTAAATTGAGCCCAATTGAAAATAAAATAGTTATGATAAATCTTTTAAAAAACAGGGCATTCATCTTTTTTAAAAAAAAAACAACTTCTAATGCATGTAAAGTAACTTGCCAGCTACTGTCACAAAATAATTTGTACAATATGTTTGTTGTGGAGAAAATGACACTGAAGGTTTTCCTAATATGTTATTTGGTGTTTTGAAATTTTATCCCCACTTTTTAGTTCCATAGCTTGTATAAATTCTTGTAGAGCACAAGTTCAAGTATTGAAACTATATCTAATTTAACCTATATTTTAATGCATTTTCTATCAGCAAAGCATAAATGGTCTGAACTTCTAAAATCTTCAATACTTGCTTCCCCTAAAATATTTTGTTTTGGGAATAAATTACAGGCCCTTCATCCTTTTGATACCTTTTTTGTTAAACTGTAATAAAAACCTATTAATTTTTTTTAGTTACTGACACATTTTGTCCAGGGCTGGTATTATCCATCACTGATAATATCAGTATGTGTTTTATTGAACAGGGTCACTTAGCAAATTTTCAATACCAATATTGGGAAAGAGGAAAGAAAGGTAAGGGGAAACATGCATCTAAAGTTATCAGATTTTGCTGTGATCACTTGACTGCATAGTTATGAAGTGAATTGAAATTCTAAAAATTACTGTCTGAAGTAGCGATAAAATCCAGCCAAAAATATTTACTATGTAATTGGTTTTTGGCTGTAACTCCTTCGGTTATTGGTACAAAATTCTTCTGAAATCTGCTTGTATTTCCTCTTTCCCTCCCCTTGCCTCCCTTGCTGGTCTCATTTGCATATAAGATTTTTTTTAATTAAAAAAAAATCCTTGATAAAGAATGGGGTAAACTCCTTAAGACTCACTTTTCAGAGATCTCTGAAGGGATTCCTGCCAGGCTGGGGTGTAAATGCTCTCTCTGTTTACCATAACAGAGCAGGAAAAAGCTGTAAAGTTTCTCTGTCCTGGGATTTGGGTTGTGCCTGTGAGAACAAAGAGGAAGCAGCCATGTTAGCATTACAGAAGGCAAAACCAATCTTGCATTTAACTGCATGGTGGTAGAGGGCAGTGTAATTCCCTGATTTATTCAACTGTCTCAAATGCTTTGTGCCTGTTCTCATTTTGCCAACAGAATTCAGAAGGAGCTAGCTGAAATAACCCTGGATCCACCTCCGAACTGCAGGTATGAGACAATCAATTACCCAGCCTTTGTGGGTGCTGATGCAGTTGGGGGGGATGGGGTGGGCGGAATGAGGTGCTGATAAAAAAAAAAGTTAAGGAAGATTGCTCAGCAACAGAATTGTGCCGTTGTGCAGTATCTAGCTGAATATCAGATAAAGCAGGAATTGTAAACGGCAAGAAGAACAAGTGGCATGAATTGGCTTTGACAGAATGCTTTGATTGTCAGTGACACAGGGTAAATGTCATATATGTTGGAAATAGTTGCCTTTGTTAAAAAGTGTTTTGTTGTGCACATTTAAGCTAAATAGTGATGTGATCATGGATGCAATGTCTTAGTTTAGGACTTGGATGTTGGATATTTGAGGCTTATGACAACATCAACTTAACCTACATTTGAAAAAAAAAAAGATATGGTTTCTCTTTCCAACTTAATGACTTGGTGTCAGTTTCAAAGATAATTTAAATGTCATATATTCCCTGATTGGATGATATTCCAGGGTAATGTAATATAGAAATAATTTTATAGCTTAGGGGGAGGTTGTAAATTATTGGGTGATTATTTTGCATAGGAGAATTCTAAGTCAGCATAGGTGAATAATTCAGTTTTTGAATGAAGGAGTGGTTCAGAAGTTCTTATATGCTAGTTGAGAGATTTCCCCCCCCCTTGTCAAAAATTAGGAATAGGCTGGTTTTTGTTATAAAAAATTAGCAATGATTGCTTTAAGCAAAGTTGCATTTGTGAAATTTCCAGTGTTGGAAAATAAAGTTATTCAAGGTTGTGGCTGAAACTTGTATTGATTCTTGTTCTTAATCAATTTGTTACGTACTACAGCTTTCACTGACCATTATATTGAATGCATGGCTAGTGCAAAGGAATATTGCAGCATTTTTTGTGAACGACTGCTATTTAATTGGATTCTGGGGAAAGGACTACGGAGGCTTATTGCTTTTCTTGTACATGTGTGTAATCTTCCTAAAACATTTTAGTCCAAAAAAGTAATATTTATCACTAAAAAAAATAGATGATTAAGTCCCTTTAGTGCTGCAGTTCCAATGCCATTTGGAAGCTTGTGGTGCAACAAGTTAAACTTGAACACTTGCAGGCTTTTGTGCAGTTGTCGATCTGTCAAATCACAATCTGGCACAGACGTCTTCAAGCAATGAAAGAGAATATCTTAGATTCACTGTAAAGCAAATGAGCTATGAAGGTAGAACTCCTAGATTGTAGTTGTACCTGGATCGTGGGGATATTTGGGCGAGACACCTGGACAATCTCTACACATGGAAAAGAAGGAATAATGGCATACTGTGCTTTTCGTAAGGATTACTGCAACATCCCGGGCTTTGGCTGAAAAATGGTCTTTGTGTTTTGTAAAAGAATGGCCGCACTTTCTTTGGGCCATTTTTATCACCTCATTTTTCTTGGGACCATTTCTATCATTTCATTCGCCACTCACTGCCCTTTGGAATCACTTTAGCTCTCTGAAAGGCTATAGTGAGTGAGCAGGGTGTGTGTGTGTGTGTGTGTGTGTGTGTGTGTGTGTGTGCGTGCGTGCGCATATGAGAATGCACAGGTAGGGTAGGCTGATAATTTTACTGTTTTACTGTACTCTAAATGATAACCTTTATAGATTATGCTGCTGAAGTCTGACTATGAACAATATTTTGCCTCGAGGGACAACTTTTGTTTGGTTCTGTGGTGATATCCAGGAGAATAGATTAGTAATGCTTATTCTCCTCTGCAGCGCCACAGATCCTTTGGGATAGGCAGGTGAACTTTGCGGTATAATAAAACTTCACGAAGAGTAACAGCTTTCTTTTTTCTTTCTCAGAAAAGAAGAAGAGCAAATGAATGTTGAAAAGAGAAATCAATTTAAAAAAAATATTTTAAAAAAATTTAAAAAATTATTTTCCCTTCTTACCTCTCCCTCCCCCCCCCCTTCCACAGAATCATTTCTTTTTGTTCTTGCTGACCCTTTTTGCTGCTTTGTGTTTTTGTGATTCCTCAACCTCTGGGTCCTGTCTCTGTTACGGGAGCCTCAAAGAAGAGGTCAGTTTTCAACCGGACTGGGCTTTGCAGATTATATATATACATGGTGCAGAGAGAGGCAGCAGGGTTGTGGGAACAACCCTTCCTTTCCCTGAGGTAAAGTGTCTTGTGGGCAGGAGCCAGGGCTAAGCACCAAAACATGTCCAGACCAGAAATGTATGATTAGCCAAGAGTGGCAAATATATATCTGCTATGACAAAGTTGTGGAGACTGTGAGTGGTGTGAAATAATTCCTTGTGTAAGTCTTCTAGGATAAGTAGGCCAGTTAATGGTGCCTTGCCTGAGAGCTATTCCCCCTCTCTAATTGCTGCGCTGGCAAAGGGAATTTCCCCTCCCTGAATTCCTGGTGATGGGGGTGGAGATCAGGATGGCCTTTCCTAATTAAAAAGTGGGGAAGGGGAGTCCAGTTTTGGAATAGGAAATAAAATCTCTTGATAAAGAGGAGATCTTAAGATTGCTTGTGAAGGCTTGCAAACAAAACAACAACAACAAAAAACCACCAAACCAAAAAGATTTGAATCCTTTTAATATTCAAATTTATCCTCCATCATTCTTGGAAAGAACATTATCTCTGCCCAAATACCTTTATTCCTAAGTGTTCCACTTTCAGGAGACAATTAGATTCTTCTGCTAATACAGTCCGTTTGGCAAGATGCATATTGCGTTCTGCTTGCAGGGTGAGAGAAAACGAAGAGAAAACCTGCTATAAAAAAGGTATTTTATTTTTCTGAGGGCTGCTGCTTTTGTTAAAGAATGCCATCGCTTTTCTTTGTATTAGAACTTGATTTAGCTCCAGCAGGGCTCTTGAAAGCTTCTAACATCTGTTTCAAAGTTGCATTTTGTCTTCAGAAAAACCCATTCCCAAGTATATGTGCTTTTGGAGAACAGCTCTTTTTAATGAAATAGCCTTTTTTTAAAAAAAAAAATTAAAAATGAATTTGACAACTGGAAGGAATCATTATCCTGGACTGTATTTTGGCAAATGTCACTGAATGTGTGAACTACTGATACAAATGAAGCAGTATTTAGTAGCTGGAAATATGATACATGGAGTGTTGATTGTCATGGTTAACATGGCAAAGGCAAATGTGCCCTTTGAGTTCAAGTATTACATGAACACACCGTGCAAGGGGTGTCTGTGGCAATAATAGCAAAGTGATGTGTGCTCCAGCTTCCTTTCAGGATCTTTATTATTACTTTTTACTTCTTTATCCACAGTTCTGGGATGTCTTAGTGCCCTCCTATCCAGATTGGCATGCCCAAGCTTTGTTTCTAAACGGAAAGGTCTGTGGCCACCTGCTGAGACGTAACCACACCAAAGTTCCTTACATCCAAATAAAGAGTCCTTAAAGCAATAAAGGCAGGCTGTGATCATTGTTGTTTTATGGTGGGGATCTGAGAATAGGAATTCTGCTAAGTCTCCTTTGTTGAGTTAACATCCAAGGTGACATTTGAACCTGGGACTCTTTTGTTTCTAGTAGCTGAGATTCCTTACTGTTGCAGAGCAGGGTGTAGTAATAGGCTCAGAGTGGTCAGATTTTGCAAGTTCTGCGTTGGCAAATTGGACAAAAGTGTACATTTGACTTACGGTTGATTGTAAGAGTTGCTGTTTCTGTTTTCTGCCTTTAGTAGTACCGGTTACCTATGTACTCCAAATGTAGAGCAATAGGTGAAAAACATTACCTATCTTGCTCTCTTTTGTAGTTTGCGTGATCAAAGTTTTGCATCCATGTATTTACACCATTTCCAGGTATCTATTGTATGTGCATGGAGAACACCTGGATTTTCAACTGCAAAGATTTTCCTAATGATGTCAAGTCAATTTGCAAGATAGGTTTGCCCTCCCGATTTTGTTCAGCTACAACTTCCAGCCTTCTTCAGCATTTGTCATGCTGGCAGGCACTGCTAGGAATTGTAGGTTAGCAACATCTAAAAAGCCACAATTTCCCCCTCCTTCCTTCTTCCAAATGAGTTATAAATAGGGCTTCAATCACTCTTCAAGTATATACTTAGTTTAGAACTGTAATGAGGAGAATAAAGATTTGCTTTGTTCTTTCTTGAAAAAAAAAGATAAGTCTTTTCAATTATTTAAACTAGCCTTCCCCAATTGGTGCAAGCAAATGTTTTAGATTACAGAAGAGTATGGGAATTGTAGTCCAGGTTTCCTTAATTGAGAAAGGCAGGTTTAATAGCCTTAGTGTTTTAGTGTGATAGAGATTCAACAAAATAAAATTTTCACAAAGTGAATTTTTCCTTGTCTGAGTGAAACTGAATCATAAATGTTAAAAGGAAACTTGGCTGCTTCTTGGGCCAGAATGATAGTAACGTGCAAAAGAAATGATTGAATTACTTTAGGGTTGCTGTGCGTTATTTTGTTTGTATGTATAATTAGGGAGCCACTCTGCTAAATGTAATTGGGGATAATTTACCGTGCAGCAAACGTTGGCTTTTCTCATTGACTATGACTATTGCAAACAGTGTTGCTTGCTCCTTAATACAATTACATTTAACACTCTTTAACTGATGAATGTGAATATTTTGCAGTTTGCTGACAGTTTGGATTGCCTTTTTTATTTGTTGTCCTTATCCAACATTTCTGTTAGATTTCAATTTTCATGTTATCGTTTCGGCTTCTGTTTTGTTCAAATTCACACTTCACATTCTCGTATAAGAATTTCTTACATTTCACCCATTTGCTGCATTTCCGTTTCACACTCAGAGAGGTCTACTTCCTATTTTTATTTTAATCACACCAATCAAGGTTTCATTTTTTTAATGTAAAAAAGTTGAGTGTGATATTGTACATTTAGTAAAAAGTGTGGCATAAATATATTTGGTGTTATAGGGTGACAACTCCTATCCTACCTGAGCAGTATCATTGGAGCAGATGGGGAATTCCATCTTCATCTTACTTCCATACTTTATGAAAGATATGTATTCCCACGTTTCAT